GACCCACCCGCCTCCACGGCATCCCGCCCGACATCCAGGAGCTCCGCAGGTGAGGGCAGGGCGCCGGGCGGGACGGGCCCCCCGCGCCTCCGGGGCCGGGCCTTTGCCCGAGGGGACAAGAAAAGCCCCGGCGGCTGCCAGGCAAACCCAACCGGATTTTCTCGCCGCGAAGCGGGGCGCCGCCGGCAGTACGCCTCGTGTCTCGCTCCCGCTCGGGGAGTAATGAGTTTTGTCCAGCCTCAGATGTCTCCAAGCACTGCTGCTGATAATGTGTCTCTTCCCCTTCGTCAGGTTGAGTTACCAAAACTCAAAGCCGCTCTTCGGGCAGACAGCGGGCCTTCTGCGCTCGCAAAATGGGCGACTCATGATTTCCTAGTCCTCGGGCTGCCTTGGTGCAGGGGAGGCTCTCCTAGTGAGTGTGTGGTTGGTACGAGTGTTGACATGCAGAAGGCGCTCCATGGCTTTGCTTTAATACGGATCTCTAGGTGAGAGCAAAATAAAACCCCTGGTCTCATGCAGCTCACGGCTGCACAATGGACTGCACAGGAGAATAAAGATCTGGTTGTAGCTTATGCAAACAATAGGGCCTTTCTGCTGATACAGCTCCAGTCTCATCAGGGTGCTTGCTGGCATGGATGGGTTTTTGTTGTATTTCTCTCCACCCACCCGCCTTATGTAGAGCTGAGAGATCAGCTGACAGATCTTCTGAAGTGTAGAGCCCTAGGCTGTGCTCAGGTGCAGTGGTATGTCTGGCTCTGGGACCGATCAAACCACTGCAGGCCGATGACATAGAAACCTGCGGCTGAATCACGGCAGTTGGGAACGTTGGTGGGGTGGGAACAGATCTTAGGTAGGACTGGGTATTAACTGCCCACATTGACCTGGGATAGATACTTCTGAAGCCTGCCATCCTCCTGGGCAAGCTGGCGACTATGTTCTGACTCGTGTGTTACACCCAGGCACCTCGGTGTGTTCTGCTGGTTTCTCAAGCCTCAGACTACCCCCTGTGTGGCTCCATGCTAAGAGTTTGGGTCTGAACTTTCTTCACCCCAGCTCTTTGCCAACGGACTTGCCAGAGGCAGCCTCCCTTACACAAATTTCAGCAACCTTGACCCTAAGTAGCTGGATTCGCCCTGATGGCTCAGCAGAGCTGCATCTAGTGGAAGCACAGAATGTTGTATGTGGGGTTCTGTCTCCCACGGTCCTAGGTTGGAGGTACCAGAACTGCTTGAGTGCTGGCAGGAAATGGTTTTGTTCACTGCAGTGTAATACAGTTGGGTATGCAGCTTTTGCCCAGATGGCACAGCGTGCACCTGTTTGAGGATCTGGAGCAATGCTGGGTTAAGCTAAGTTTGAGAGATGCTATGAGGCATTTCGAGTGCTAGAGAATGCCCATGCCCTTCTCAGCAGAGTTGGACTGCGTCCTAGGTTGGGGCTGTCGTGAGGAGGAGGACCCTCAGCTTTCTCTCTGTTCAGAAGCAGTTGCTTCAGGGATAACGCAGGAAATGAGGACAGTGGCACCAACTTCATGGGAGAGAAGGCCAATGGAGGAGGGCAGTTATGTGTGGGAGATGGTCCACGTTGCCTCCATAACATGCCCAGTAGCATCCAGGATGTGTTTGGGATCTGATTGTTGCACCCACCTCTGAGGCAGAGGCTTCCTGCTGTTGCTTACATGCTCTCATCTGTGGTTGTGGTTTCTCTCTCTCTTTTTTCTTTTTCCACCACCCCACCCCCCCAGAAGACAAACCTCAATTCTGCTTTTTGTTGCTGACCCTGGGAACGTACCAGGCTGCGTAGCACTGCACGTGGTGTCCCAGTGGGCTGTGTGCTGTGCTCCGTGCTGCACTGCTGTCAAACTACTGCTGCATGGTTATTCTGCCTTGTTCCTCTGGCCTGCCCTGAAGCAGGGCTCTGTTTGTCCTGTCCTGCAGCTTTTCTTGGGCTGGTCATGCTTGAACCCTAGAATGACAATTCTGAGAGGGCAAATGCGGACAAGGCTATTGAACTGTCTGTTTATCATTACAAAGTGATGTGTCAGGTAGAAAAACTAGACTAGACCCTGTTTGTGTCTGTTGCCCACGTAATGACTGCTAACATGTCACCATAATATAATTGAACTTTAGCTCAAGATAGCAAATCTGTGCTTCACCAGGATTGGCAGCTTCTTTACCACTATGCCATCAGTGACTCTTCTGTATCTGGGACTGCTGAAGTAACAAAAGGGAGCAGCACACTTGCTTGCCAGAGCTGGGAGAAAACAATACTTTATAATCTAATGTTCCTCCAGAGGAAATCCTGAATCTGCTCATTGGGAGCCAGATAACCGGTGACCTGACACCCTTGCCAAAAAGATAGTAACTATGTACTGGAGAGAAACTGCTGCCAGGCCCTCCTCCCACCTGCCAACAAAAGAGGTGTCCGCAGCATGAGAGTGCATATTCTTGAAGTGAGTAAAACAAGCCTGAGCAAGGACAGAGCAGAGCCAGCTGTTGTGGCAGGGCAGCACGGAGGCACCTATTTGTTTCTGAATACTGGGACAGGAGGTGAGGCCTGGTGTAGGTGTTGGGGCTTCTGTTAACCTCACAGCTCAAGCTGCAAGTGTCCATCTCGCTGTTGCTGGCAAGCCAAGACTTTGAGCCTTTTTCCATATGCAACTTTCCATAAAAGAAATTCTTCTCGTGTCTCGTGGTCTCTGAGACCACAGAGGAATGCAGGCAGCACTTTGACCAGACACATTCCTCCTGCTGGTACTAGAGTTCCTGAGGCCAGCAGTTCTCTTCTTCCTGTGACCCTGGCAGCTTCCCATTTGCTCCAGTCAGTGATTATAGAGCTGAGCAGAGTTGCAGAGATCTAGAAATACTTTTTGTGTTTTCAGGGAATGTCTGAACTCTGATGAGATTTCTTTTTTTTTTTTTTTTTTTTTTTTAAATTCGTGATAACTAGGCCTCACATCTTTCCTCTGCACCCCATACAGTTTCCTGTTGTAGTTTTTGAAGGGGTAGTGTGTCAGTTTTAATGAAGGCCAGGAATACAGCAGGTAAGGAGTCTACGTGGTGGAGTTGAAAGAATAGAAAGCTGATGGGTTTGATCTGCCAAAGAAGAAGGAACATGCTGGCAACTACAAGTGCAAAGGCCCTGGAAGGAGAGACGTGTGCCATGTGTTGTTACTCACTTGAAGATAATAAAGCCACAACTTTGCAGCAAGCTGGGGTCAGGCATTTTGTGCAAAAACTTTTCTTAGCATGTTCCTAGTGATTTGGCAAGTTAATGAACAGCAATAAGAACCACAGCCCGTCTTGCTGCTGTCTTGTCTTACTCCTTCCAGCTTTGGCCATCTGCCCCATCCTTGCCCACGCAAATCTTTGTGTGCAGTGCAAGATCCTGTGAAACACGTGCCTTTCGCCTGATTATCAGTTGCCTCCTAGGCTGTTGTAGAAGGGACCACCTGTAGATGTCCTGATGCTTGAAGCTTCCTTCAAATGGCTTCACAAGTGGATGATCACGATTGCTCTGGTGATGGCAGCAGGGTGATGCTGGTCATAGCATGCTGGCACCAAGGATGAATACCTTTGCTTCATGTTTTCCATTAGGGAAGCATTGTGGAAAATGCAATGCTCTTTCCTCCTAATTCCACCGTAAGTATCTATGGTGACCTGCAACAGCCTCTTAAGTTTCTGAGAAAGAAGATAAGTGTGGGCCCTGCTGAGGGCTTTTTTTAATCATGTTGAGGTTCCTTCTGCATGCCCACCACCCCAGTTACTGTCAGCTAGCAGTGTCAGTACAGTGCAAGACCTGAATTGCAGCATTGGCTGTTGCTGTGAATTTAGAGTAGAAAATGGACCAGATGGATGAGAGCAGCCCTCTTTGCATTGCTTTCCTGTTTGTTGCCAGGTAAAAGATGAGCTTAGCATAGGTAGACATAAGTGTCATCTTTTTTGTAGTTCTCACTCCAACCTTGACCTTGCTGTGTTTTCGGTGTGAGATGTTATGGTCAGTCAGTCTCTCTCAGACTCGATTCCCAGCTCCTGAACTGTGATCTGCATAGACATCCCACCACTCCTTTGGTTGTGTGTATCCTTCCTCTGCTGATCCAGCTGGGGATGCAATAAGGGGCATTGTGTATTATAGCTGGGGAGCTAGAAGTGTGGCCATCTGCTTGTGCCCGTTCTGGACAAAATTTGTTTGGCAAGTCTGGTAAAATACAGCTCTGATCTTCACTGTCCAACTGTGGCTTTTGGCTTAAGGGTGCATGGATTGCCTTAATCAGCGTGCGTGCTTGGGGAAATGTCTTGCAAGTGTCCTGTAAAGGGGAAGATTCTCAAGAGCTTAGCGAAATGCAGTCGATACCTTGAATTTCATTATGTGAATTTTGAGTTTAGTCTTACTCTTCTGGTTAATATTCTCGCGCTCAGTAGAGCACCAGGAGCAGGCGGAAAGAGCTTGGAAGAGAGCCAGGCTCTTTCCAGGCGTCTGCCGTGCATGCTCCTTTCCTTCTTGCTTGGATTCCTCTAGTAAAGGCCAGTTGTGCAAGGGCTGGGATCAAAGGCCTCAAATGCCTAACTGGATTCATCCAAGTTTTCTGTAAAGGCTTAGATGCAATGAAAACCAGAGTATTTGCTTTTATTCGTGGGTAGTATTAAGCATGTTAGACAAGCATACACTTAAGAATTGCTGTTACAGTGTGGGAAAAACAGCAAGTGAAGCTTTGATAAAGATACAGCATTAGGAAATCTGCTTGCTGCCTCCCTTTTTCTTCCCCTCTTCAAACGTTTTGCAAATAGTTTTCAGACAACCGTTTGATCTTAAATTTGCGTGTCAGCAAAGGCTATGCAGTTCTCTCAGGAATTAGCAAATTGTAGAACAGGGTTAACAGGAGTGTATTGTTGGCTGCCTTTAAATTCTTCCCTTGCATGAGCCTCAAAACTGCCCTGGAAATTTCTTGTTAAAAAGTTTATCTTAAAAAGACCTGGAGCTATTTCAGGCTCATTGTTTCTTTTTTAGATTACCTATGTAGATGCATCTGTTTGATGTCAGCTGTTAGATATTATCCAAAGAAGCATCTGTGGGGAAACAGGATGGATTGAAAATTGGAGTATCTTTTATGCCAGAAGACATTCTCTGCTTGAAACATGACTATGAAAGTGTCATGGTAATTGATAGGGTATCAAAAATACCTCTAGTGCTCGGAGTGGGCTCTTCTTACTTACTGAGTGTTTTGGAGCTTCTTGATTTGTTTTGTGCTGTATGATGACCTGGAAACCTCAAGGACATACTCAAGCAAGAATGTACAGTCTCTCGGCACGTTAAACTTTGCTGCCACCACCTGAATCGATTCATAGTTGTTTGAGCGTTTCCCCACTCCCTTCCCGTATGTAAAAGGACTTACACAGCCACCCTACAGCCCAGTGGTGTGAAATCTTCCACTAGAGAGGAGCGACACACGATGGGCTTGGCGTGCCGGCTGCTGCTTGGCAGCAATTAGTACTGGCTGTGCTGAGCGAGGGGCCTGCTGGATATAAGGCTGAAAGGGACTCTGGCCTTTTATTAGTGTATTTGTAAACATTGCTAAAAGGCAGGAGAGAAAGTGTCAGCCCCCATTAGTTACTCTGTCAAATGGGGGTTTCTTCAGTTTTTGTTGAGATGGATTTTGTTAGTGTTTGTTCCCTCTTGAAATTCGTTCAGCCAGATCCTGTGTTGCAGGTTGGAAGTACATCATTTATTCTAACTTCAAAAATAGGAACTGAGCTTATGTTCATTGAGGGTGGTTGCTCTCTGGCTTTTCTAAGTTCCTGGACTGACTTTTGAAAGTACAGAAAAATTCTAGTTCTCCCTCTGTGTACATAGCGATGCACGAGACCTTAGCTGGCTGGTCCAAATGACTATGCAGATTAATGATTGTCAGAAAAACTGGGCCTTAGTGTGAAAGGTTAGTTAGAAGTATTCACTAAGCTCACTCCCGTCTCTGTTATGGTCCTCCCGTGAAAAACTACGGTAAACGTTGTTGATTGCCTCGTTAGAGGGGCTCGTTTGTGAGGAGGGCAGAGCTCAGCAGTGCTCTTGCTCGTCTTACGGAGCAGCAAACTGTCCCCCAAGTAGGACAGCTTGAGAGCCAGCATTGCCTTGACCGCGAGGTACGGGCTTAGTACGACACGAAAATCAGGCCAGGAGTACATGAGCTAGGAACGAACTGTGGCCCCAGTGGTGTGGTCAGTGCTCACTACAAAAGCGTTGTGTCTCTTGAAAATCCTTGCCTGTGTCGTGACTAGCTTTGCTCAAACAATTCTAGATGCTTTAATTTCATGCAGAAATGACTGTTATTAATTTCTCCATCTTGCTCAGCCAAGACTAGGCTAGATCCTTCTTTCTAGCAAATTGTATTTTGGGGGACGGGAGTTATAGATTTCTTTTGCCTACTGAGCAGTGTTTCAGTGGAAGCTATAAGAATATCTTTGCTGCATTTACAGTAAGTTTCTTTATAGTTTCAAAACCTCCTTCCTGTGCTTTTTTAATAAATTTACCATCTAATTAATATCTTAAGTTGATGTTGGAAAGACTGGGCCCAGTGAGTTGTTAGTCTACTGACCACAGAAAGGTGATTCAGAAGATAGGTAAAAAGAAAACAATTTTTAAAAAGCCCTTTGTTGCCACTGAAGGAGTTAAAAAGAAAACAATTTTTAAGCAGCCCTTTGTTGCCACTGAAGGAGTTATCTTATTTAGTGGATTTTTAGTTAGAGACAGTTTGTAGTCTGGTGCTGGGGCTTTATGTCCTAGCTAGTATAACTGAATGTTCTCATTACACAGACTTTACAAAGAATGGATTTGAAAGCTGTAAGTAGTTTGTAGGCAGTGTTTTTGCACGCTTAGTTTGTGCAGTAAGCTGCTCTTGAAACTTACACATTTCATGCCTTGAAATGAATTTCAAAAATGTTTTTTACTATATGTTTTGCACCTCTCTTCCCCTTCCCTGGTAGTATGTGTTTTTACACAATGTGGCTTTACGGGCATTATTGTTTTCAAACACAGAGGATGAAGAGTTAATTATTCACTTGTGCTAGGAAGTGGAAACTTGTACACATCTAAACCTTGTTTAAACATTGAAATCCACATTACTAGAATTCCCTTGCCCAACAGTTTTCAGTGTGGACTCCAGCAATGGCATGGAGTTAAAATATGTCTAGGAATTGTATGGTCAGCAGTTAAGTCCCTAATGAGAGCCAAGCAACCTAAATCCACCTTGGGAAACAGTGCAGGTTGAAGGAGGAATTTTGGTTAAAACTTAGGGCTTTGTTAGGGGATCAAAATTTAATTAAAAATAATCTTTCCTTGACAGGGTCTCTGCACAGCAACCTTCCTCCCACCCCCACTCTTCACCTACAGGTTGTCTGTGGAAGAGAGGATACTTTTGAATAGTGGGGTTTTGGTGGTGGGTTTTTTTCTGTGTACTTTCTTGCGTGTTCAGAATAATCTCCAAATTTGCTGTCCCACTTGATTTCTCAGCTGAAGCAAGTATAGTTACTTCCTTTCGTATAGTCAAATTCAGTTTAAATCTAAGGCTTAGAAATGGCTTGATTCTGTGCCCACTTTGTCAAATCTCAGGTATTTAGCTTTCCGCTGACGTACTCCAAAAAGGTAAGCAAATCCAGGGGAAGTTAAGCTCCGTGAGCGTCTCCTCATGTGTTGCAGTGGTTTTGTTGTTCTGTTCTTTGCTGATGGGCAGGTGGACCTCTATGCTGCGTTAGTGGTCTCTGTAGCCCAAGCAGATGCTGTCATTGGATCTTTGGGGTTCAAGTTTCTTGCAAGAACTGAGCGAAATAGTCTCTTTCTACTGCTCTTCTGCTCCATTCCAGGGGAGGCCTCAGGGAGGAGCTTCTCTCATGCTCCATGCATGCTGTGGCACAGTTGCAGGGTTTAGACCTCTGGGTTGAACACCATGTCCTTTGGGTGGTTTGGTCGTCTGTTCCTTTGCCAGCTGTTTCCATAGCCTCTCTGAGGTGCTGTGGTGAGATGAAGGTGTCTCCTGTTCCAAGAAGGTTATAAGCTGTTCTTAAAGAAAGGCCGGCGGAGCCTGGATGACTTCTCCTTTCTGACCTGTGGGGAATGCTTGGTAGATCAGAGGGGGCCATGTACACCGTAGTTGGGCAGCTAACCTGAGTATGTACTGGAGATACTGAACCAGCATGAGTACCGCAGACACCTGCAGACAGGACCGTGGGATCCACCTGTTTCAGGCATGGGAAAAAGTGTTGTCTAGACCGTGATTAGTAATGATGTCTCTTCCCAGCTGGAAGTACCCAAACTGAACCTGCCTTTGCTCTTCTTCCAGACAAGGTCTGAGGACAGGGGAGGGAAGCTATTTGGCTCTGTGAAATAGGGAATTGAAGCTATTATGTTGAAGAGAAGTGCTTGCCAATTATTTGTCCTCGAAGGGCAGAGATGCACAGCAAATACTGGATACTCCACCTGGCAGAAGGGTTCTAGTGCCTCTCTTTGTTCCTGTCTGCCATCCACTGAGTTTTCACAGGACGTCCAGCAAATTATTCTTCTTATTTAGGCCCAAACTGCAGTTAAGTCCAGCTAATGTTTTTGGTAGCTTTGGGCTCCATGACTTCAGTATACTGAAATCAGTCTACGCAAGAAATGGCATGCATGTACTTGTGTGACTTAGATGCACTCTGTGCTGTTGCAGCTTTGGTGTTGTCAGTATCAAAGCGGGACTGGCTGCCTCTGACTCCAGCTGAAAGGCTCCAGTTAGTGACCGAGGAGTCAAATGATACCGTAAAGAGTGACTAGCGCTTGTGCAGGGCCAGGATTTTCAGGGAGAGCCATTGCTCTCTTGCTTTGCTCCTGCTGAAACTGTGAACTTCCACTGGCTGCAGCAGGAGCTGTGTCAGTGCTGCAGACCCTGTGTGCGCAGGCTGCTCTTCGCTGGAAGTAGGAGCAGGAGCTTTGCATGTGGGGTTGGTGTTGGAATACATAGTTGTCTGGTGCCTACCTACAGATGTAATGGTGACTGCAGGAGGCTGGAGGTAAATCTCAACATTATCTGTTGTGAAACACCAGCTCTGTTTTAATTTTGATATGCAACTCAGCCTTTTTTTCCCCCTCAGCAAATTCTCTCATACATAGTTATCTGTAAGTTTTCTTTAAGAAATGCAGGAGATGTGAAGACCTAGTATTAAATGAAACTGGAAATGACCTTAATGAAATAATGCAGTGTTTTCTCTTCTCTTTTTCAGTTTAGAATTTCTATACCTTGGAGGGAATTTCATTACTTCAATTCCACCTGAATTAGCAAACCTGCCTTCTCTAAGCTATCTAGTTCTGTGTGACAACAAGATCCAGAGCATTCCACCTCAGCTGGCACAGTGAGTATTTACTGTCATCAGCCACCAGCTGTAATTAACTCTTTGAAATTTTTCTTCTGCATGTGTGGATAAAAGCACCTGGGAGCACCTATTTGTCCTTCAGTTTGTTAATGTGACTAGACTTGAACAAGATGATCCTTAGCATGGTGCGCTGCAGGCAATCCATGAATATATGATATGGAAATATCAATCAAAGGGTTATGGAAAAAAAAATGTAACCAAGTATACACTTTAAGGTGAATAAATAGATTTGTACAGGGAGCCCTGAGAAGTACCTGGGCAACTCAGAAAAGATAAACTGCCACGCTACTATATTCTTAGTGATGAATGCTTGGTCTGTTTTGTCTTTCACCCAAAGCCTTTTTGTGTGTGCTTTTGTGTTGTACCATCCCCTGTGTTCCCTTGGCATTTCTTACTCTAGGATCTCAGAATGTTTTAGTGTTCGTTAAATCCTACAGCACAGCTCTAGAGGATAAGTTACTGCTTTATCTGTTTCATAATGGGGGAAAGAGGAGACTGCAAACTCTGTATGGGTAGCCTAAGATGGGAGGTGAAGAATTTAATGTGTAGTTGTAACCCCAAAAGTAATTGAATGGCAACACGGAGTTTTCTGAGTTGGAATTTGATGGTGTAGCAGAATTATTTTTGATGTACAATGTCCAGTTCTCTTGTAACTTGTACTGGTTTGAGAACATCCCTGGGCACTGTGCTGGAGCATTGCTTTGTGCTTCCTGAGAGAGGAGAACACCTCCTCCAAAAGCCAAAAAACTGCTTGTCACCCGTGCCAATGCTAGCCTGGCCCGACCTTGCTTAGCTTTTGAGATCTGGTAGTATCACAGCGCAAGGTGATGCAGCCGCAAGCAATGAAAACATGGGGTTTTCCAGGGTTGGCTGCCTACCAGCAGTCATCTTTAATGCATGAGTGAAAGCAGGTGACTTATTCAAAGTATTGCATGGAACTGTTCTTGATGCATGCAGTGGGTACAAGGAGACATTATCTCCCCCGAAAGCACTCCGTTTGTACACTTTCGTTCTGTGCTACCTCTTCTGGGGGGTCTGTGTGGGGAATACCGAGAGGGACAGCAGCATATTTAAGACCGTGTTTCTTTAACAGGCATTCCGGAGCTGAGCTAATTTTTCTAGGGCATTGTGTGTGCTGGAGTAACAGCAGCTCTTTTAGCGTGAATTTATGCTTTGAAAGGAAGAAAAGCCAAAGGAAAAGAAATTGGTGGGAGAGGAGAGAGTAATCAGGTCTGTGTGTAATGCAGTTGTGGAATGGTTTTGCTTGCACATCTTGACTGGGTTTCCATCTCCATCCTCAGGCTGCATTCCCTGCGTTCCCTTAGCCTGCACAATAACCTGCTGACTTACCTTCCTCGAGAGATCCTTAACCTGGTTCACCTGGAAGAGCTGAGCTTGCGTGGGAACCCACTGGTGGTTCGGTTTGTCCGTGACCTGACCTACAATCCCCCAAGCCTTCAGGAACTGGCTGGACGCACAATTAAAACTCGCAATGTTCCCTATGCTCGCAGCGATCTCCCGGAGAATCTTGTCCGGTATCTGAGCTTGGCCAGCAACTGTCCCAATCCTAAATGTGGGGGTAAGTTCTCCTTACCTGCTCTGCTTCCTGCTTTTACCTCAGGGGTTTTCTTTCCCTCTGACTTGCCATGACTTTAGTAGCTCAGTCAGGTTAGATGTGGTGTTGCATCCAAATTCTAGCTGTATTTCATTGGCTCCAGGTCTCCTGCAAACTTGTCTTTGAGAAACCTTGTTCACTTAGAAAGGATGTTCAAAGTTGTAGTGCTGGTTTACTGTATTTGCATGGGAACGTGAGGCAGTGTTTCTGTCAGAGTCTTTGCAGCTCATCCCAGCACTCCACTATGCTTTCATGGTCTGAAGTTTCCGATCCGTCTGCCCAGAAATAGCTCAGACTAAGTAATGGACAGGAGAACTTTTGCAAGCACTCTTGCTGAACAGCAAGCTTCACTTCTGGATGGAAAAGAGCAGGGAGGCTGTAGTGCTCGGCAGTTACCAAGAGCAACTTGTTTAGCTCTTGCTTGGGACTACTAGCATGTAGTTCCTGGAAGGAGAGGAATTCATAGAAAAGCCTGGAATGCTTGGGCTTAATTTGGCTTAATGCTTAATCTTTAGCCAGAGTAAATGATCTGTGCGTTCGGCCTTTAGAAGATTAAGGAAAAAAAAATCATTAATTAGTATCTACCCTGCAGTCATAATGCAGTCACTTATCTTATCTCCTTACAGGACAATACCAAAGCATGCTCTGTAAGCAAAGATGGAAGGGCTGGAACTTGTGTTGGAAGGGAAAGAAATGTTTCCTTCTTTCAGTTTTGCACAGATTGGATAACAGTGGATTGGTTTTGCTCCTTTTCACTTTTCCGTATGAACTAGCACAGTACTGCAAGTGTTGCTCTAACACTGCAGGAGAAAAGCATACTCCAGACCAGCTAGGACTTAAAACACTGCTGGAAACTTCTGAAAATGTCAGTGTCTAAAATCACTTGCTGTGACAGGAAGAGAACATAATTGTGTGTTACAGCAACACTGTTGCCATGGAAAGTAGCATCCAAACTCAGCACGGTGACTTCACTCAAGCAGAAGAAAAGTAGAGCTATGAAGGTCTATTTGTGAACGCATTTTTGCTAGCTGGTAGAAGAGGTTTTACAAGTTTGAAAATAGAGTGGATGAATTAATTTGACATTTAGGAAGCTTGCAAATTCCCAGCCTGAGATTTCTCCCTAATGGTTAGAAGAAATTCCCGAATTCTTTGGAAGTAGCTGCCTTGTGTCTTTTCATGTAGTGTGCCGTTCTGAATCACCTACCAAATACAGTTTTACAGGATTATTTTTTTTTTACTAAGAAAAGAAATTTCACATTTCCATAGGTGTCCCAGTCCCTTCTCTTCCTCCAGTATCCCTTGTGCTTCTACGTCCAGTGTGGTGTCAATTAAATCCTAATTTGAGGCATTTGCACCAGCCGCAACGACCTTGCAGAGTTTACAGATTACTCCGCACGGGGTCTCATATGTGGTTACTGTTCCCTCTGCCCTTACAGGTGTCTACTTTGACAGCTGCGTCAGACAAATCAAGTTCGTTGACTTCTGTGGGAAGTATCGCCTCCCGCTGATGCACTACCTGTGCTCCCCAGAGTGCTCCTCTCCCTGCAGCTCTGCCTCACAGAGCTCTACTTCCCAGAGCGAGTCTGACTCTGAGGACGAAGCCAGCGTCGCTGCGCGCAGGATGCAGAAAGTCCTTCTGGGATAACAGGGAGCGAGAGGGGAAGATGGGAAGGAAAAAGTATTTGAAAAGCAATAACGGAACAGCGAAGCATGAGCCTCTGGCCTGAAGGGCTCACGAGAAACTGTCCTCAAGTCCATGTAAGGGCCAGGACATCTTAGCAAGCCTAGACTTGCTTGGTGCAGTGCTACTTAGGAGAACTAACTCAGTGGCATACTGCCTGTGGGGTGCCTGGGGTTGTTAGAAACATCTCCTGTCTGGTAGACACCCCACCTCCCTCGTACAGGCTGGGGAGGGGGATTTGTTCTCACTGGCGGATTGAGAAGGATTTTAATATATGACACTTCACTGGACTTCAGTCATCCTGCAGAGCAAAGGAGACTGTCCAGATCTTTTAACACTGTGGTAAACCAGAAACAGGCTAATGATGCCATGTGAGTATGTATGGACCCCAATGTTTTAGATAGCGTTTTGATTCTTTGCTGTCTCCTTTGATTTCAGTTACAGATTTTACACCCATCCGCTAAAAATGGGAGCTGGGTTTTTTTTTGTTCAGGAGTAGATTTTTCCAAACTCTGGTTACTCTTCCTTTGCCTAGAGGCGTAGGGTCTCCGTGCTGTTACAGCCATCATAGAACTGAGCCACCTTTTTTCTCCCTTGTTACACCAAGCTGCTCTTAGTGTTTCCTCCTAACTGTATTCATTGTTTTTCCTCCCTCTGCCTCTTTCCGTTACACCTGCAGTGTTGCTGTCTTTATGGTGCCTTCAGAAAACAGACGAGTTGTTCTGTTGAGACTTGGTATTACTTCAGACTTGTGGCCGTACATGCCTGTGCAAGGGACCAGATGTGGTGCTCTGTATCATGTTTTTGAGTCTCAGCTTACTGGAGCAAATCTGCTTTTATATCTGTGAATTGCAGGAAAGGTCTTGATTGACTTTTCTTGTTTCTAAACAACTATGTCCCCCTGTTGCTGCTAACTCTGCTATGCTTGTTGGGACAGAGTTACTTTCCATCTTTAAGGTCATCTGCTTAAAGTAGGCAGCAGCTTAATGAATTGGAAGTACTGAGAGAAGTGTCATGGAGAATGGGCTTTTTTCTTATTTTTAACGTGAGAGGAGAAGCTGGTAGGGAGGCTAAGGCACGTTGTCTGAGCATCTTGCACGAGGTGGTTTTGAAACCTCTTCCTTATTTATTTGCGTAATAGCTTTGGCAGTCTGTTGGATTGTTCAAATAACACATTCAGTTATCTTAAACTATGTTTAAAGGAAAGCTGCAGAAAATAGCTCAGAATTTTTAAGTATCAAGAAATAGCTTATAAAAATTAATATTATGAATTGACAGGTATCTATAAATCTACTTTATGGGGCTGTTGTGTGTGTTGCTCAGTGAGAGCTGCCCCTTTATTAATATTTCATGGCAGACAGTCCGTTTGATGCGGTTTCAGATAGAGCAAATACAACTGTACCTTCGAATGCACGAGCAGAGCAAATACATTGTGTTAAGAAACTAAATGAACAAGAAAAACTTTTCTTAACCCCCTTTGGCCCTATGGGGGAAAATTAAAAACCTGTGCTCCTCTCCTGCATTCAGAAAATGCATGTACCTAGTTGAACATCTTACAGCAGCTCTGTGTTAATGGTCCTGTTTAATTATATTTGACACTTTATATATTAAAGCACTTTGATAATTCTACTCTTTGTAACTAGCTTTAGTGATTATTTTTTTTTTTTTTATTAGACTACGATTTAATGTGACCTGAAGAACAAGGTCTGTGAAACTTTGTACGTTCCAGTCTGTCTTGGTGTGCAGGTTGAACTTCTTGCCTTGCATTTCCTTGACAGCACTGCTCATTTCCCCGGTTTCCTTTGGAGAGAACTGGAATTTGAAAGAAATGAACTGGTTGTAAAATAGCACCCCGTGCGTTATTAATCATTGCAACTTAGTCTGAAGATTCCCCACATGCACAGATCCACAAGGAACTAAACTGCACATGCTCTCTGCCTTTCCAAATAATTTTTTTGAAGTATATTTTTAAGACACAATAAGGTGTATGTGCAAAGCAACTGGATGTCACTTTAGCAAGTTCTGTGAGGTTTGCTTGGGAAGAAGAACCTACAGATTTTGAGAGAAACCGACTGCATGCTGTTAGATTGGGATCAGTGAGTGGCCTGTGTCTTGTTCTTCATCTCCTCTTTCAGATGCTTCTTCCTGTCCCAAGTGAATATCGTCATACCAATGCTGAAGGACAGTAAACTGATTGCAGAGCCACAATTTCAAATTGGCTGCTAGTATAACAGTAGTGAGCAACTGAGTGATCTAGAGCTTGGCTCTTCTGCTAGTGAAAGTGAGCCACACAAGTTGAGATCTCAAGATCTTTTGAGCTCAGGGCCATGAGGTACCACCTTCCTTTCTTTTCTTTAGCAGCAGGTGTCTTGAAATCATGTACTTTTTCGCTTCACGAAGTTAGATTTCACCACGGTTCCTGTTTGCACAGTAGCACCTCTGTGTGTGACGGGTTACTACCAGTGGTGGCTGGTTCTAATTTAGCTTGATCCTTCACTGCATTTTCTTTCCTAACTGAACAGGCATCCCATTTCTGCCCCAATTCTAATAGGGCTAATAGGCTAATCTTTTTTTCACAGCTTCTTCACTGTAGCCAGGTCAAAACTTGACAGTTTATGCAGTTGATATCTCTATGCATTTTTAGACTTGATAAAATGTCTTGTCTCTTTAAAAATTTATATATATTCCCAAATATAGCTACCAATTTTTCTTTTTGCTGCTGGGCTTTAAAGTGCAATTCAAGTAAGTCAGAATTTAAAACAATCAAGGACTTGTAAGAAAAACAAATGGTGGGTTGGTTGTGGTTTTGTTTTTTTTTTCCTCCGGAGGTGGATTTGAGATGACTAGGGATGCAGGTTTGTACTGTAGTGCCTAATGTACTGAGTGGGAGTCAAGTTTTTCCAGCAATTGTTAGCCCCCAAAGCCTGGAAAATGTACTGGGCAATAAAATAGGTAAGACAAAACTTAAAGATACACTGCTGGATGGTTCCTACCATCCCCTTCTCAGGGGCCCTGAGAAGCAGACAGTGGTTTTGCCAGCATTATAGCTCTCTGTCAGTTTTAAAGAGTGGATTTCAGTTCTTACAGATGCATCTCTGAGTGAAGTCTTCAGTCAGTGTTTTGGTATCAGTCCCCTTGTTGCTACAGCAGCCCAGCACGTCCAGCTCTTGAAACTCTTCTTAAGCCGAGACACAAGTACGTGAAGCAAAGTTGCTCATTCCTTCTTCCCCGCGGGGTCCGGGGCCCTGCCTGCATTCATCCTCTGCCCCGCCATCTCTCTGCCAAGGGGAGCTGCTGGTGCATTTCTGAATGCAGGTACTTAATGTGAACAATGGGGTCATGTTAAAAAAGAAGCAAAATATCAATTTGACTGGAAGCAACTTACACAGTTGCCAATTCTTTTATGTTTCTCTTTCTTTAATAAGAAGTGAGACTTGAGGAAGTCAGTAGTGAATATTTAAACATACTCTGAAGTGGCCAGATGCAGTTTTTCATGGGCTTCTGTCCTGGTCATTTTAAGTCTTTGAAATCTTGTGTTGAATTATAATGGGAGTGGGGGGGAGGGAGGGGAGAACCAGCTCCTTTTTGTTCCTTACTCTTGTTGGCAATAATGAATGGAAGGAACTTAATCCAATGAAAGTAATGAAACTTAATCCCTGCAATGTGTCTTTGTTACCCAGTTGAAAGAACTATTTTAATGCATCTTATTCACACCATGCCCTCCCTCCCCAACTGAAGATACTTCAAATAGACTACTTCAGAATGCACACTAATACAGCAGTAACTCTATCTTGGAAACCTTTCTATTGATTATTTCATTTGCCTGCCTGACTAGAGGATTGATCTTTTACTGACCTGAACATTAAGGGTAGAAAGGGTTCTCGTCCAACCCTCTTGTTGAATTTTTATCATGAGCATTTGTTTTAGGAAGTCTTAAAGTGCCTTATGTTTTTAAAAGTGTATTTTGCTAGAAATGTATGAATGTAGAATATCTCTAACAGTATTTCATTATGAGCTGTAAAACAAATTGCAAACACTAAACCAAAAATGTTATTTCTACAGTTGTCCGTCCATTATTTGCTGGCATCTCGATTCTGGTATTACTGCAGGCAGAATTGTAAACATTAAAAATGGGGCTATACGTGGTTGGGGAACAGATGAGATTTGACCTGTGCTGTGTAAAACCAAGAGTAGGTGAGACTTCCAAAGGGACTGCTGAAACTCTTGACGTTTGGGGCCCACTTGTGACAGACCAGAGAGTGTTACAGACCAGACCCTGTTTTATTTCTGGTATAGTGTTGCAGAAATTTGCTCCATAGTTTAAAGGTAGAAATAACTCACGGGCAAGACAAATACATGAACGAGAGAAGGCAGTGTCATGGTGAGTTTTCCAGCAATATGAAACAACAGTTCTAAACTTCTTGAACTGTTTCCCACTCAATACGCTAACCCTGAAACCTGTAAATGACTTTTTGAATATTAATTTTCTGATCATGTTAACTGGGTAATGTGTTCCCATTTCTTGTGTAATCCCATGTTTCCTCCTACATCCTGAAGAGTTCTTGTGATCTATTGCCAAAATGTTTCAGATCCTGCCGTGCAATTACCAGTTGTCAGTGCAGAAATGTGGTGTATTGGAAAATGGGAAAGCGGGAAACAAGAATTACTTGATTTTAATTTCAGCAAGAACTATTTCAGAGGTGGTTCAACTTCATATGTAATGAAAAACCTCTCAAATTATGCAGCAGCCCCATTTCAAATAACATAAAATACCGAGGAATGCAGTGACCTTGCCTGTAATAACCAGGCTGAGAATATTCTTGCCTCTTCTTGTTAACTAATTTAAAGATACCCTTTTCTGTGCCTTCTTAATACCTTTCTTATATTTGGAAACAAAATCATGGAAGTGCTGGTTCAAAGGAACCTCTGGTGGTCTCTAGTCCAACCTCTTCATTTAAGCAGGACTATTGCCAGCAGTAGTTCAGGTCGCTGTGGGTTTGTCTAGCTGACTCTTAGAAACCTCCAAGGATGAAGAGTCCACAATCTCTCTGCCTCTGGTGCTATAATCTCCTCCTAGTGCAGAAGCCTCTCCAAATGTCCAACGTCTTCCTGACATTAGTTGCCCATCTTCTAATCTCAAGGAGCAAATCTTGGCTCTCAAACTTTCTTCTCTGCTTTTAACACTAATGCAATGAAGACCGTGTAAATGAAACATGAGTTACGTAGATGCCTGAAGCAGATGCTCAGGATGTCAAATTGACATTTTAGGCTCATGCAGAATTGCACAGATCTAAAAGGGAGAATTATGTCGATGCTTTGGAAGTGCTTTTCATAAAGCAGAGCTATGCGTTTCCTACTCAGATGGGCTGCCTTAGGTGATCAAGACAGCTAGAGCTGAATGTATGTACCTTTTCCTCTGCACTAAGGTTGTGAGTTGCACTTGCCAACCATTTAAAAAAAAATATTGGAAGAAAGTTAGTCCTAGTGCTGCACTGAAGAAGGCCAGGGCCATCTGCCCCTTAGTCACAGTCTGGAGATGGCATGCCATGTCCGAGTGTCTCTTCCCTTTCCAATAGCCGCTGCTCTACGGCGACTTATTGGAGGAGGGTTGAGAGCATGTGTTCTTGTACTACAGCTTGCTGCAGTCTCCTCTCTCACCAGGCAGCAAGGCGGAGAGTTTTGACAAGGAGGTTTAACAAGCCAGGGTCCTTTTAGGATGGAGGGGAAGGTAATCCATAGCAGAGCCCAAGCCCTGCTTCCAACTGTCTTTTGTGGTCTTGTACTACAGCTTGCTGCAGTCTCCTCTCTCACCAGGCAGCAAGGCGGAGAGTTTTGACAAGGAGGTTTAACAAGCCAAGGTCCTTTTAGGATGGAGGGGAAGGTAATCCATAGCAGAGCCCAAGCCCTGCTTCCAACTGGTCTTTTGTGGTGAGGTGAGGTGAGGGTGCGGCTAATCTGGTGTCAGTTCAAGGACTGGTCACCCAGGGAACAGCCAGGACCCTTCTCTTTGTCCTGGCCTGGGACTTACTGGTGGCAGCTCAAAGCTTGCTGTCAGACTGGCAAAGGATTAACGTATCTTCAGAGTGTCGTCCAAACACCCTGTCTGTAACCCCTTCTTGACTGTGGAAAAAGCAGGACCTGAAGTCAGCACTGATTAGCCAGCTGTACCTTTATCCTAAATATTACACTTTGATCAGAGTGTCAAAGCCCCGCAAGGCTGACTGCCATTTACACATCTCCAAAGATCGTTGCTGGTGTGTTGGCAAATGAGTGATTTCACCAAGCTGCATCATTGCTTGTGTAAGGGAACGTGACAGACCAGGCGTATTATAAGGTGCTGTGACACGGACGCTGGGGAACTGGTAAGTTGGGAGGGCAAACAAACCCTTCATCTGGATGATGGTTTGGGTTGGGGTGGGGGGGTCACAAGCTGAAGCCCAACAGGTCGGCATGTCACCCTTTACATCAGCAAGGACACAAACATCTATTGCTGGTGAAAGGACCTGTATGGAAGGTGTGGGATTGTTTTGTTTGGTGGTTGTCCCTGGAAGAGTAAATTTCAGCCTTCGGGCTTTGGAAATGGATAGGAAAGGAAAATGCCATTGTGGAAAAATGTTTTTCCATAATTCCTGGGCGTCCTGGCATCCACAGTAAAAGTGACTTTATAACAAACGTGCGTAATATTGAGCAAATGTCCTTTGTGCCAGACAACGTTACTTGGTTGCTCTCCAAAGCCTTGCTTTGCAAATGCTGTTTTATTAACTCTGGGGAGGGCAGCCCCGTTGCTCCTCATGAACAACAGCCACATGGTTGATGTAGATGACTCAATGTATTCTGCTTGTGAGCAGGATGACAGCGAACAAGTCTTCACCAAGCTGGCAGATCATGGGAACGGGAGGAGCATGGATGCAGAGCTGGACACTAGAAGTAAGGGACCTTATATTTCCCTTAACAATAGCCTTCTGCTTCAAACACGCTGGGTGTTTTTTTGGAGGTGGGAGAAGTCTGGCCTTTGGAGAACGTCCTTCGCATCAGGTAAACAGGTCACTGCAACTCTCGTACCTCTTTGGCAGAGGATCCCTCTGAGCCACTCGGGCAGTACTTTGTTTCCCCGTGTATTGCCCTGCTTTTGGTTGGAGGGCCCACGGGGCTCCCTGAACTCAATCCCCTGCTCGTAAAACCTCCCCACAGGCGGAGGGGGCTGGTGAAAGCACTGGCTGAACCCAGTGCTTTGTTTCTGTTGTGCGTAGCACTGCTGAAGGGGACCTGCTGGAAGATTTTAAAACATCCCTTGCATTTATATAACCAAACACCCTTTATAATCTAAGTCAGACCTGAGTGGTTTGCAGCAGTGGTTTTTGTCTTCAAATAAACACTGCAGTGTGTTTTCCAAAGTTGGGTTCCCTAGTTACTCTCTTCAGATATTTGGAGTTAAATTGCATCTTTTTGTTTGTTTTTCTTTCTTTCTTTAAAGCAGTCGTGAGTCTTCTACTGAGAGATATAATCATAAAAGGCCTTGCAAAAAACCCCATGTGACTGGGCTCGTCGAAACACGTTTTGAAATGGTCCAGGAATGTCTGAAACTTTGTTGGTCTTTCACAACTTGCAACCCCATCTGGCTGCCTTGCACTTTGAAACCTGTTCAGAGATGACCCTTTGCCATGGTTTGTAGGGAAAGCCCACCCCGAAAGCCTGGGCACCTGGCCACGGCTCGTCCCTGGTCCCAAGCACAGCCCTCCAAGCATCCTGCCTAGAAACACTTCGTAGTGCTTTTAGGAAAGCAAATTTTGTTTGGTGTGTATGCGGAGGGAAGAAGGTATGGCCTTAGGAGGCAAAAACTTTCCTTGATCAAATGCTGCCAGCTGGCATACTCCAGGCTTGTCATGGCAACGGGTATTTTCATCCTTGCACTCTGAGGTCTCTACAACTGTGGGCCACAAGGAAGAAAGCTGCTGTGGAATATGTCTAGGAGCATCTCGTTCGCTTCTCCATCTCTCGATAAAGGGCTGTGGGCATCTTACCCTATTCATGGGGAGTTTAAAAGTGTGTGTCTGCTCTAGTTTATTACTGTAAATTTGGCCTGCATTAATAGTGGCTGGCAAAGCCCTGATGGGGTGTATTCCTGCTCCTGTGTTCCCCACTTCAAGCAGGGGATTGCGGCTAGTGAATTCCCCCCAGGAAAGAGGGCAAAGGCAGGCAGGGCGTCTCCCAGGGCCAGCGTGTTCCTGCAGCAAGGAGGAGTCTGAGCTTGTGCTTGTTTTCCTGCACCAGTTGCACGTAAATGCCCCTATGCAATGCCGTTTGCACAGTAGGGGATTAGCGGGGTTTGTCTTCCATCAACAGCATGGAAAAACGCATGTGCAAAGGGAAGGGGACTTACTGTAATTACTGCTGACGGTGTGGGTGGCTGTCCCAAAACCAAGCTCTCCTGAGAGCTGGCCAGGCTGCTAGTGAGGGTGTTAAAAGTGCACATCCCTACATGGTCCAGGGGAGGCACAGCCCTGGCTTAGCGGTGCACACAAAAACAAGAGAGGCTCATGTGAGGTGCCTCCTAGGCTTAGGAAATGGCAGGTGCCTTTGCCATTATGCAGTTGAGCTTTTGCATCCAAAAGGTCACTTCTCTTGAAGAAAGAGGTTCCCCAGCAGCTGCATCCTTCTGTTCTGGGTTGTCACAGGGGCTCTGCTCCCACAGTCGCGGATCTGCCCCTCCAAGGTGACTGCCTTTGATAAACATGTTGAAAACGGGTGGCAAAAGTGTCACTGCTGTGTCACGCTAACAGTTACCTAAGTTTTGTGGGGGTTCCTCTTATGGTTGAAGGAACATAGACCCCAGGATAATTCCTCAAACCCAATACCAGCTTCCGAACCAAGAGTGTCCTGACGGAGAACACCTTCCAACATCCTTTATGGTCTCCTGGCAAAAGTACAACGCAAGGTGGTGATCTGTGCCATTTGTCACGGGGTCTGAAGGTGGCTTCTGTAACAGGTGGGTGAGGAAGGAACATCCTTTTTAATGGGATTTTCTGAACTCCAGTCCCTCTTCAGACAAGCTGTAGC